AGCAGGAAAGCCAGCAGTCCTTTAAGCCAGTCAGGCAGTTTCAGAATCAAGATAAGGTCCCCCAAGCAGTGATCCACGAAATCACCTTTGCTGGGAGACAAAGGGTCCAGTTCAGGCACCCCCACTCCAGATATCCCTCCCGGCTTACCCCTACCCACTGTATCCCTTCATTCTCTACTCAGCAACTCTGTCCACTTCCCTCCTCATCAGACTCCAGTAACCACTGGTCTTCAACCCCTTCATCTGCCTCCTTTCAAACATGTGACTTGTTTCTGCTAATCCTTTGGGGTGCCTGGGCTCCACCCCGCCCCTACTGGAGCTCCCCAAGGTGGGACTCTGTGTCTCCCTCACTGGAAAACTAAGCTCAGAATAATAAGGATTGAGGGCAACATCTCCCCGGCCAAGGTTTGATACTGAGGGCATCCCCCTATTGATGATACCAGCCTGGAGGCACAGATGGGGCTGTCCAGAGTGAGCCACCCATGATGCTTGTCTCTGAGGCTGTCTCTGGCTCTAGATCTCAGGGAAAAGTCTCAGGTGGCTGATCTTGGGCTTCATTCCCAGAGCCTGAGTGAGGGCAGCCCCTTCCGCTGAAGCCTGGATCATGCCCAGCTACCAGGGGAAGTCCAGTCAGCCCAGGTATATCACAGGAGGCACATTCACAAGCCTGTCCTCCACCCCTGTCAACCCTTAAAGATGGAAAACATTGAAGTAGAACCAGTTTCTCTAAATGTGAGCTCTGCAAAATCGCTTAAAGCGGGTCTGGTCCAACCCGTCCACTTTACAGAAGAAAAAACTAAGGTCTTGCTTGAAAAGAAAAGATGTGGCTCAAGACAGAAGAGCCTGAAATCATAGATGTCTAGGCCCCTGTCCTCTTGCTTGATCCTGCCCTTGTCTCTCAGTCTCCCTGGCGAGGTATCTCTAGGCTCAACCCACAGCTGGAGGGGTGGCAAGGTCCCTGACCAGAATGCTCAGACCTTGTTTAAAACCAGCTGAAGCCTAATCCCCAACTTTCTCCATACTGCGGAGTCACAGCCACCTCACTGCTCTCCCTGGGTCTACCCATATCCTGATCCTACCACAGACCTTGAAGCCCAGCATCACTCACAAGTTCTGTAGAAGGGTGACACCACCATCACTGAACAGCCCACCTGTCGACAGGGTCTCCATAGCATAGGGTATGTTGCTCGGCAGGAAGGGAACCAGCTGCAGGGATTGGAAGGTATAAGGCCCTCAGACCTAAAAACCCTTGGGCCCTATCACCCCTGTGCTGCCCAGGTGGCCCTGAAGATGGATGGGACCAACCCTACTCACACAGTAGCCCTCACTGGAATCACAGAGGTGGCCTTTACTGGCCCATGAAAACTCCCTGCAAAATGCCCATCATGAGAGAAGTCTGGATCCACACAAACTTCTCTGAGATGAGCAGGCCAAAACCTACTGGCCCACCATCTCAGGGTGCCAGGAACCTCTGGACAGCCGTGCACTATTGTTTGTGGTTGATGAGGCCCTCCCCATGCTGCGCTCACACATCCCCAGCATGGGTCTGAGTTCACTGTCAATCAATTACCCCCAAACTCCTGATCAGCCCTCTATGCACTGATGCCACAGGGACACAGTTCCCATCCCCAACTACAAAATAATCAGGGTGCAAGGATGCCAGGAAGGGGTGGTAGCCATGGGCATCAGGAAGGCTTCCCTGAAGGAGAAGCCGTGCCAGACTTCCGGGATCCTGCAGCCATACCGTGTGGCCAGCAGCCTCCAGGCTCTGCTTGGTCTCCAGCAGGGCCCGTTTCATGGCTGGGGTGGGCATGGTATAGTTGTCTGTCTCATAATACCCCACACGCAGGGGCTGGGAGCTTCTGTAGACCTGGAAACAAAATATAGGAGTCAGATTAGGACGAGAGAGGGCGGCCCGAGGCAGGGCTCCCAGAGATCAGAGAAGCTACTTAGCCTGACACAGATGTGAGGCTGCAGCTTGGATCCCCTGAAAACTGCTTGCCCACTAGGCCAGCCCCTCTGCATCTGCCACTTTCATGAAACACCTTCACAATAACTGTGTAGGTGGGCAGAGCAAGGATGAGGATTCCCATTGGTCATATGAGGAAACTGAAGCTCCAGGTCTTTATAGGGCAATAGGCCCAGAGTGGGGCTAGGACTTGTCCAAGGCCATTCAATGCAGAGTGACAATGCTAGGTCCAGAATCCAAGCAACCTGTCTCCTGAGCAGAGGCTCTGCACTGCCTGTCTCAAGAATGCAAGTCCTGGCTCCCACGATAAATTGTTCCAGACCTCAGGACAAGGACCTCATCTCATCTCCTCATCTCCTCCCTCTCAGGAAGGGACCCATGAACCACTGGGTTCAGTTAGAACATCATCATCTGCTGCAGCAGGGGAGCTCACCCCAGCCCAGATCTCCCACCTGCCAAGAAACGCTGAGGCCCACTCTCCTGTCCAAGGGCCCTCAACCCTACCACCTGGGCTGGGTGAGGGCAAGAGGTCTGTACAGTAGAAATGGAGCTTACATTACACAGCTTACTGTCCATGTTAACATGACTTTACTATTCTACTATCTGCATCTATCTAACTTGCCTACTCCTGAATACTTTTATATAAGGTACAGATAACTTTACTGTTCATTCTTGAAAAGACTTATCAACTCTTCAACAGGAGTATCAAAATACAGTTTATACTCTTAAGACTCCCTAAACCCCTCGCCTCAAAATCCTCACCTTGCTGTGTCCACCAATCCTAAACTATTATGTCGTGATCCTTACAAGCCCCCACGTTGAAATATCTGCCTTAAACCAGACTTTGAAATCTCAACAAATATCCCAACTTTGCCCCACTCCCACTCCCACCCCTCCCAGCCCTGGTGACACCTAAGGTTCTGTTGAGGCAGCATTTTTCCTCACCACAGAAGTTAATAAACTCAGCCTTGTCTGATCAACAGGCTGTTTTGTAGTATTTTGGGAAGCCAGTATTCAACACTGCACACAGATCTCAGCTTTCTCTAGGAGGGAGACAGCTCTGCTTTTAACCATCCTTAACTCACTCAGCCTACGTGCCAAGCATCCTATTGAAGGTTAGGGACATGGACACAAATACTGAAGAAAGGCTATTTACTGAGGGTCAAACACAGGAGATACAGGAGTTCTCCTTCAAGTTGTTCTCTGGGCTGGGAAGTGGTTTCTCAGTGACAGCAGCAGAGGCTCGGGCCAGAAGGTGAGGCCCGTCCTCAGCAGAGACTCCAGGTTACCTATTTGGAAGACCGAGTTTCTAAATGCAGATAAGGGCTCCATCTGGTGGCTCTCTACGGAGCAGCAGCTGACTCTAGCCTCAGACTCCAGCGAGGTGGTTTTCAGGAGACAGGACTTCCAAGGCCTGCCCACACTACCTGGGCTGCTCTCTGGGTTCAGGAACACCACTGATAACTGAACCCACCGCCATACCGACCCCTACTCCTGCTTACCTCCTCTTTGAAGGGCAGCGGGGGCACAGTGGGGTCCAAGCGGAACATGTCCTCACACAGCAGCGCTCGCAGGCACAGTGCCAGGCTCTCCACATCCCTGGCCATAGGGCCCACTGACGCCTGTACTGTGGGGAGGAGAGGGAAGGGAAGAGAGATCACTTGGCCCCAATGGGCTCTGGGGCTGGGTCCGAGCAAGGGTTGGGCCATGGCCCAGGAGTGTGGGCAGAGACAGGAAGTAGGAACTCAGACCTAGAGTAGCCTGGGAGCTAAATTCTGCCCCTATGAGAGGCAAGGGCAGAGGTGGATCAAGCAGAACCCAACACCCCGCCAATCAGGGCACTGAGAGAACCACAGACCTCACCTGCCACCTGTCCATAGACACAGCTCTTCAGGCCAATCTTGCTGAATAAGAAACACAAGATGTTGGAAACAAAAAATGGTCAACCTCTGCCCCACCCCACACCCATACAGTACTCACCACTTGGAAACTAGGGCCAGAGGTGCTGTGACTCTTCCTCCCAGCAAAATCCCAGTAAGGGAACCCCTGCCCGGAGCCCAGAGAGATGGGAAGCTAGACCAAGGTCACACAGAGAGGGGTCCAGAAGCTCCCTCCACCCGTCACCTATACAATACCTGAGACGGTTCCCTGTGGGCTTGAGGCCACAAATGCCACAGAAGGAGGAGGGAAAGCGGATGCTGCCTCCAATGTCAGTGCCTAAGCCCAGCGGGGAGCCTCCAGCCCCAATGATGGCCCCTTCACCCCCTGAGGAGCCACCTGGGCTCTTGGAGGAATTCCATGGGTTCGTGGTCTGGCCAAAAAGGGGATTACTGCAGTCGTAGCTGGATAAAGCAAGAATGGGTCAGCCATGTCATGCTGGCAACAGTGACCCTGTCTCCACCCAGCACCTTTGAGACCCAACCTGAACATGGACTGAGGGACGTTGGTGTGCACAAAGGGCACAGCACCCTGCAGCTTCAGCACCTGCACCATCACACTGTCACACTCTGCTGGCACTCCTTCATTCAGGCTCAAGCCCAGTGTCGAGTCCTGGCCCTAGAAGGTGGATTGGGCACCAAGAGGGACATGGCTGGTAAGTCAGGAGCCCTTTAGCAGCCAGGGTCCACTCCCATCACCCTCACAAAGGCCAAGGCAAGGCATACCATGGTGCCCTCTCAAAGTTTCTGGACCCAATACTTCCTCTGAGGGCCCAGGGTGACCTAGGACACAGAGCTTGTGGGCAGGGATGGGGAGAAGTTGAGGCCTGATACTGAGGCATGGCATACCTTGTAGCTGAAGCACTCCTTGAGACTTACAGGGACACCATAGAGCAGGCCCTGCCTTGGGGCCTGAGACAGCTGAGTTTCACAGTCTGCCAGGTAAGTGGTCACACAGTTGGTCCCTTTGTTCACTTCCCAGGCCTGGGGGAGGGAGAAATGGACACAAGGCAGAGTGAGGCTTGCCTTTTTAAAAAAAAAAAAAAAACTATAGTAAAATATACATAACATAAAATTGGCCTTTTAAAGTATACTCGGAGAGAGAAAGGGTAGCCAGCACCATGGCTCAGAGCCAGAAGCATAGAGGATAATCTAGAGCCCAGCACCCACTTCACTGGGGACATCTGGCCCCAGCCTCCCCTTGGCTGTCTTGGGCCTTTAACCCCAAAAGGAAGAGAGAGAGTACTCCCAGGGTCAAAAGAACAACATACTGGCCTCAGATGTCCTCCACAGGGAATGAGCTGGGAGAAGAATGACCCTTGACCCCTGACCTCCTTCTCCAAGCCCCACCTCTGTCCAATGAAACAGATGGGAACTAGACCAGGCAGATCGCCATCTCAAACCACACTGGGAGTCAGCCAGCACAGAGCAGGGCTAGACCTAGGCTCCAGCCTCTCACAGCCCAGTACACTTTCCTCTGCCCCAGGCCTGGCCCACACCTAGCCCAGCTAAGCCTCCACTCTCCCAGGAACTTCTAAATCTGATAATCATGACATATGGAGGAATGACTGACAGTTAGCAATCACAGTAAAGGGCGTGGGAGCTTGACTGAATGACACACTCATTATGTTTGTCTCAGGAACTTGCTAGAGCCCTCAAACCACACTCAACAGGCCCCTATAGTGGGGGAAGGCCAGGGTAGAAGCGGTGTAGCTTTCAGTAAATACTCCTTGTTCCTGTAAAACACCTGAGAAAATGGGTGTGGGTCCAGTTGTCAGACTCAGGCACATGAAATCTGTTTCCATTCACGCCCATCCAGGGATGCCCCGCCCCCCCCAAAAAAGAAAAAAGAAATTTGTTTCCAGGCTACCTAAGGTAGGAGGCCAATCTAACCAGAATGCTTTCTTATGATCTCTTTCAAGAACTCATATACAAGTCACACTCATAAAGCACAATTCTTTCTTTCTCATTTCAAACATATTTCTTGAGCGCTTACTATATGAAAGATATAGTGTACAGCACTAAAGTGCAAAAACAAATAAGATAAGCTCTGTTCCAAAAAAGCCCACATTTAACATGAGAAATAGACAAGGCAAGCCCTATAACACAATGAGAAACGCTGAAGAGGAAACCCTAACTCAGGTTGGCAGGAGAGGAGGGTCAGGGAAGGCTTCATGGAAGAGGGGACTTCTCTGAGCCCTGAAGTCTCACCTGTAGGGAGCTAAAGCTCCCAAAATTCAAAAGAGTGCATGGATTATCTTGGGAGGCCTGCTTGCATAAAAAAAAAAAGGGAAAAGGCTGGTTCTGTGGAATTCCAGGAAGAAGAAGATTAAGTATAGACAAAGGGAGTGTCGAAGGGAGTGTCAAAGGAAGTGTTGATTGTACCTCGACCTTCAGGATGTTACTTTAATTATGTTATCTTGGGATACACAAAGGAACAGATTATGTATAAAAAGGAGCATAAGAAATAAACTCGGAGAGACAGTTGTGAGATCTGTTCTCCCTCCTGCACCCTGTCTGTCTTCTCTTTTTTCTCAGTCCCCGCTCCCCTATTCAGGTACCTGGTTTGACTTTTTCGGCTGGTTTCTGACACTCACCCAAGCAGGGAAAAGTGGAGAGAGAAGGGCCTTCCAGATAAAGGGAACCCCACAAGAGCCAGTGCAGAGCATGACAGGACCTGTGTGCCAGGGAACCACTAACAGTTGAGCTACTGATGTCCCAAGCTCCAGGAGAGCTTGGCCAAAGAGGATGGTGGGGACTGAGTAGAAGCAGAAGGGCAGAGCCTGAAGAACTGGGGACCTGAAAGGGATCTGGACAGGAGGCTGGACCTTGATCATGGAAGAGAAGACAAGGTTGGCTAAAGTAGGGTGGGGACAAGGAGATAAGCTGGAGAGAGCTATATGAAGGGAACAGACCAGTCTTAGGGACTAATGGAGTGGAGGCAGAAGGGAGAAGGAAGGCTGGGCTGAAAGCCTGGTTTCTAGCTAAGACAACACGTTCAGTGTCACCTCCACCCCATACACACAGAGTCGGTCAATCTCAGTCTGTCTCTCTCCCCTCTCGTGTACACACACACACACACACACACACACACACACACACACAGAGCTATGGCTCCTTTCCTCTCTGGTAGCCCTGGCACTGTTGTCCCACCAGGGCCCTCAGCAGGATGAAGTCTAGGCCAGGTTTTCCCCACAGTCTGTGCAGAAAGAGCAAATAGGAAGCAGCAGGCAAAATAACTGGCTGGCCTTGGCTGGCCTTACCTTTCCCAAGTAGGTGAAGAGCACAGCTCTAGGACACAGTTCCCCACTGTGTAACTTCTGCACTAGTTGAGGCAGGGGCAGGGCCAGCAGCGCCTCTGAGTCCAGGTCAGGATTCTGAGAAGACACCTCAGATCAGTTCTCCACTCCCTGCAGGCCCCACATGCCTGTAGCAGATATCTGTGGCCCATGTCCTTAAGTCACCATACCAACTAAGCAGATGCACAATGTCACATGCCAATCCATGAGAGACATGCCCATCAACATACCCAACACCATGACCCAGCCTGTGCAGGTCCTTGCCACCTGTAAGCAGTACAGATATTATCTGTACTGGAGGGGATACCCTAGGAGAGGCCATGGTCAGGCTAATTATTAAACCATTGAAACCACCACCACTGATGGCTGCCTACTGTGTGCCAGACGCCATGCTGGTGTGCTCTCTATTTTGATTAAGTCTTACTACCATTCCCTTTGCACAGAAAAAGAAATTGAGGCTCAGAGAGGGGAATTGCCTTGCTTAGAACGGTACAGGCAAACTACAGTTCTCTGCCCACTCCGCATGGGCTGCCCCCCTGGCTGTCCACTTGCACCTGACCACCCAACCCCTGGCAGGATAGGTTAAAACAAGAAGACTCCATCCAGGTAAGTTGGGCTGTAGCTGGAGGCCACATCCAAGAGAGGATTTTTCATTCATTGCACAAATATGTATTAGGTGCCTACTCTGTAACAAGTGCCACACTAAGCATGGGGGTACAGCAGTGAACAAAAAAGGCATATACATACTTTGGGGGACTTACACAGGGCACAGGGTTGGGGGTGAGTATTTGTTAAGTAAACAAATAAGAATTTTAGATAGTGAGAAATAACTTAAAGGAAATAAAACCAGGTACAATGAGTGGGCAGCATATAGGTAGAGGGTAGTCAGAGAAAAGCTCTGTGAAGGAGACATTTTATCAGACCCAGGCCTCGAAGTCTCCAAGAGTCCCTGGGATCAGCCTCTGCCTACAAACACCTAGCTGATTCCTCTTCAAGGGTGCTAGGCTAATTAGAAAGCACAGGCTAGAGAAGATCTGAGTCACAGCCAACAATTCTACCTTTATCCTCTCCTGCTCTTGCCAAAGTCTCCAGGAGCTGTCTCAGACACCTGAAGAAAAAGGCCTCTCTTCTAGGCCGCTCCTCCATCCCCATACACACTGAGCTGATCCAGAGGGAGAAAAGCTTGTTGACAAATCACCCAGGGAAGGGCTGGAACTAAACCTGCTCATGGAAGGGGATTGTCAGGGGTTGGCCACAACCTGGGCAGCAGGAGCTGGGGAGACTTCCATTCCGGCCCTACTCTGTCAATAACTCCCTGTGCACTTGGGCAAGTACCTTTTCGGCCCCCCTTGGGGTCATCACACACAAATCGATAAGTTTGAACTGTAGCTATACGGATTCCCTCGGCCATTACTCGGTGAGGCTTAAGTCCTAAACCCTAACATCCTATTGATTCTCACACTTTCATTTTAACGTTTTAATTGTCAGTGATCTTGAGATTCTTTGGCACGGAGCAAAGGTCCTCTCTTTGACACAGTGCGAGAATGGCCTTCCACGACCTATCCTTCTTTCCGTTCCCTTCCTCCCCTTGGCCCCATCTGCCTCAGAAACAGGACGAAATACATTAGGGCAAGGATGGGTTCCGAAAGTTACAAGCCGGCGCAGCCTGCCACCTGCCCCTTCACGCGTCTAGACAGCTGAAAAGTGCTACTGGGGGCACTCAGACCTGGTGCCTCCCGGGACTCCCGATCTCGACCCCGGCCATCACCTGGAGCCGGAAGCGCTGCGCCGCCTTGTCCATGCTTTCCAGGGCCGCTTTCTGTTTCTGTCGCGCCCGGACCGCCGCACCCCGCGCCTTTCGGCGAGCAGACCAGCGCAGGACCACAGCCGTGGCTACGAAGCAGCAGGCCAGGGCAGCCCCGGAGACGCCAGAGAGCGTAGCCCACAGTTCATCCAGCATCATGATCACCTGTCGCCGACTGGTGCCAAGAGCGACAAGGAAGCAGTAAGCACGGATCCCAAGGCAAAATCCAGCCTGGATTGGCCAAGGACGCGCCCGCCTGCGCAGAAGGAACGGGAGGAGAGTCGCAGCGCCGCAAGGCCGCAGGACAGCGCGCGGTTGCCTGGCAGCCGGCCGGGGGTGGGCGGTGCGCAACCGTCGAGGACAAACACGGCATGGATTGCTCTCTGCGTCATCCCGCCCTGACCGAGGTGAAGCAGAAGGAGCTGGAGGAACACCTGCTTCTCGTGGGCGTTCTCGGAAGCATGACCTTAGCACCGATACGGCATCGTTTCTTGGCCTGGCCTGAGCCCCGCGCCCCTCAATGCCCCAACTCCCAGAAGACGCGACCCAGTCGGAGCTCCCTGCAGGAAAGGCCAACAAAGGGGAGGGGGGTGGCAGGGCGGGGCAGACTAGACCTGATTAATTCCCGCAGTTTAGCAGCATATCTCTTGGAGAACCTTGTGTCATTCAGGGCAGGGCCAGCACCGCCGGGCGCCCACCTTACCCCTACGCGAGGCTTACGAGGGGGAGGGGAGTGCGGGACGGAAGAGGAGCCCCGCCCTGGGACCCGCGCAGGAACTTTCCCTGTGGCACCCGCGTGCTCCCCACTCCCCTTTCCCCAACCCTGGGATCCCCTTTCTCTAACCCTGGGCTCTTCATGACCAAACCACCCATCATTCGTAATTCTGCTCAACCACCCTGCGGACTGGCCTTCCCAGGTCACCCTTTTTCAATCCTGGACCCTCCCGGAGTTCACACCCAGGAAGCAGAAAGAATACCTAATCAGGAGTCCGGGGATCTGGTGCCCTTAATTAGGGGATGAGAGGATTACACGCACACTACTTCTGTCTAGGCCTCTTTCACAGGATTTCATGTACTTTATCTCATTTGTCCTCCCAGCAGGCCTATGAGGAAGGCATTTTTATTATCCTCAATTTACAGATGAGGTAACTGAGGACAAGAGGGGTTAAATGACTTCTGTGGGTCACGCAGGTGGCTGAGTGGGGATTTTAATTCAGGTCTAATCCTAAACCATTGCTCTTACCCATCAAGTAGCCCCACCATTCTGCCCTGGAAGTAAGGCCCAGTGGGATGGGGTATAGGAAAGTGCTTGTGACTGGACTCTGCACTCTGCAGTCTCTCCAGTTCTTTACCTCTGAATCTGCCTTTACCTTTCAAAGGGGAATGGTTACAATGCCTATCTTACAAGACTGTTAAGAGTCTGTTAAAGTCCTTTATAGTGCCTGGCACACAGTAGAACCTCCATAAATAGTGACTGAAAGGCCCACCTGTGGAGAGCCTTGGAAGAATAGAGACCTGAGGACTTTGAGCATCACTGTCAGGCTCTTGAGCATATTCGGGAGGGGCACAAGGCATTGTGTTTCTAAGTCTTCAGTCCCAGCTGATTGCTGCTGAGTTTCTACTCAGCACTGATAGTCCTTTATAAATTTCAAATCCTTGGACCTCAGTTTCCCTAGGAGAACTGACAGAAGCAGGGTAATGGAAAGAAACCCCAATATGAAGGTCTTGCAAGGTCGCCTCACCCATCTTCTGATGGAAGAAAGTATTTTAGCCCTTGATTCACCCATCACTTGCTGGGTGACCTCACGTAAGTCAATTTTTCCTTTTGTAGAGAAGCATTCTTTCTGGCCCCCTCTCCCTCTCAAGAAGGAAAAAATAAGATTAGTTATGGGGAAATTCTGGCCATTCCTGAAGCTTAATCACCAAGTTGGTAACCTGTTGGTTAGGCCAAAATCTGTTAATTTAAGAATTCCATTAACAAAATATTGTTTTATTTCCTGTGATGATGATTCTGAGACTTTCTGAGCCAAAGGTTTTTAACTTGGAGTTTACAAATGGGCTTTAGGGAGTGTCCAAACCTCTGAGAGTATGTATATAAAATGTGGTGGTGTGCGTGTGTTTCCTGAAGACTAAAGCTTTTATCAGTCTGTCAAACATATTTGTGACTCCCAAAAATGAAAACTAGAGATCCAAGCTATCTCTCTACTGTGACCTATGGCTGGCCCTCTGTTTTTGCAATCCAGCTGTAAATCAACTCTATCTTCCACAATATAAAATTCTAGAATAGGCAACACTCTAATGACAGAAAGCAGATCAGTGATTACCTGGGACCAGGGATTGAGCACAAGGAAACTTTTTAGGGGATGGAATTGTTTTCTATATTTTGATGGTGATGGTGGTTACAGATTATATACAATTACCAAAATTCATTGAACAGTACATTTAAAATTAAATTATATTGTATGTAAATAATAAGAGCATCATGTTACATTTAATCTTTTGGGGCTAAACTTTTTTATTTAATATTTTATTGCTAAGATTCATCCTTATTGTTATGTCACTGTAGTTCATTTGACAGCTGTGTAATATTCCACTGTGTGAATATTCCAGTTTATTTGTATACTCTCTTACTCATGGGCATTTGAGTTTGCTTTTTTGACCAGGGCTGCTATGAACATTTTTATACAATTCTCCTGGTGTACATCTAAGAGTTTCTCTTGGTTATCCCAAGTATTGGAATAGCTGGGTTGTAAACTAGATAAATATTCAATTACAGAAGATAAAGTGTTTTCCAAAGTACTTCTCTGTTTTTCTTACCTGAGTTTGTTTGTCCCCAATTAGCCACAGACCAGAAACAAGGACCCAGGGGCAGAGGACCCTCTCCCCTTGGATTATCACTGCTTAGCATTCGATTAGCACCAGCCTGGAACAGGGGCAGAAGCCCAAGCACCTGAGACTTCCCCACCTCAGCAAATACAGAGTAAAGAGTAAACAGCAGGCAGGACCACATGAGGCTAATTAGGTTCCTACTCCCTGGAGCTCCATCTTCCTAGCTTAATTAGGATTTGAGTCTGGAAGGTCTTCCTGGGCCCTCAGTTACAATGCAAATCTCAAGAAAGGAGAAGGCTTAACCACATTTAAAGTCCTTCTCAGCTGATACCTCTAATACCCAAACAAGGATTAGCAGGAAAGGCATAAAAACAGTGACAGGAAGAGGAGGGATAAGGAAAGTGAGAAAACCAAGAATACAAGTATTCTAAAATTACGCACCCTTTTCTACACAAAAGCCAGTTTTTCAGGGGGAAAAAATTGTTTAATAAAGCAATATCTGCAAGTGACCATAAGCAATTTTTAATATCCCTGTCATTAAAGGATTGCCTTATTTGTGCTAAAACAATATAACTAGCATGCAATCAGTAAATGATGTGATGTTGCTCCCAAACACTGCGTGAGGTAAAGCCCTATGATGCTGGGGGAAGAGCTTTGAGTGTTTCATGTAGGCCAAAGAACTGGCACCAGAGCTCAGCCACAGATCAGGAACAAGGAAAAAACTAAAACAACAACAACAACAACAAAAAAAAACCCAGAATATAACAAAACAAGACATTAGGAGTTTCCTAGATGCTCATAAAACAGGAGAAGAACTGGCATTCTGAAGAACGAGGCCACGTTATCCCCCACAATCCCAACTACTACATCTCTAGCAGCTCCCTGTTTGTCATACGTGAGCTTGAGAAATACATGCTAAAGGAATGAACAATAAAAGAAACACACAAAGAGGTATCACAGCTGTTCTACCTGTGGCAGAACAGCTTCTCCAGCCACAACTGGGTAGCAGTGCTGTTGACAGCAGGAAGAATGGCTGGAATTACTCAGCTCTGGAGAGCTTTCTCAATGTAAGTAAGCAGATTATTATTCATTGGCTTAACATTTTTAGTTCCTTGTTTCTTAAATTAGATTATGGGCCATATGGAGAAACTAGGTAGGCTTGTTTGAGCCCACTTGCTGCTCAAGACTGATCACACAGAACTCAGCTCAAGTGTGAGAGGGGCCCTGTAACCAGAGGCCTGTAACCAGGCTGAGGTCCTGGGCTTTAGACACTCGGGAGCTAGTGCACAGTGCAACAGCTGGTACAAGTGCAACTAACTACTTAGACTGACATGAGGCCCCCTACTACAGCCCCAGCTCTATGGAGCTTCAATTTTATTGGCTAAATACTTCTTCCCAAGTTTACAGCTTAAAGTGTGGGCCTGCTCACTGGCTTCTCCTCCTAATGGGGTAGGAAACTTTAGTACAGGCTTGGCAATGGGAAGTGGGGGTGGGGTGTAATAAGTGAGTTAGAAACCTGCTGATGCTCCACAACTGGACAGCATGACAGAAAAACTCTGACTTCCTATTGCTGAAAACTGTCAATAGAAAGATTTGAACAGAATAGAGGGCATCTTTGCCACTGGTCTGTTTCCAGTACCTCCATAAGAATACACCCTTTGTCTTCCAACACCAGGGCTTCAGGAACAGGGTGATGCTATGTCAGTCTACACATTTTGCAAAAGTACATGGGCCCAAAATTGGCCATGAGGTTTGGGATTACCAGTTCTCCAACCTGGCAGGATGGGAAGAAAGAGAAGGTGTCCATGAAAAGCTTTCGGAAGTGAGTCAGGTCTTCCACCCGAACTTCGATACTATATTGATTGGCCAGGAGTTCAATGGTGCCTTGCACCACATATTCATTCTGTAAGTGTGAGAGTGAGCAAGTGGAATAGACAACGTGGCCTCCTGGTTTGGTGGCAAGGAGTCCAGCCCTGAAACCAGAGAGAGAAACAGTGACTCGTGAGCTGGGAGGGAAACAAAAGGAGCTAGAAGCATGCATAGAGGAGTCTACTGTGGGATGGGTACCTGTGTTAGACAACATCTCAAGTCCCTTCCACAATTACGCCACCTGAAAAGTCATTCTCAAAGCAGAGAGCAACTCAACCTTACTCCATTAGCTCTCCTCTAGAAGCCTTCTTAAAATGATCCCCTGAGTTCTGGCTCTAGTTATAAATCAAACCCTGATGTTGGCTATGGATTGAGTCCTTACTCCAGCCCTCAGAACCTTGACCTCAGCAACTATTTTTCAAAGTTGTGCTTCTCACTGGTACTGGGACTAGCATGGAAGTAAGAGAGCATAAGTGAATCTGTGCAGCCCACGCTGCTACACATGTCCTATCACATAGGGTTTTTATGTTCCAGAGAAGGACCATCCCATGTCTGTCTGTCTCCTCCAGGCAGACCCTCAGCCAAAAGACCCTTCTACAGGTGATGGTTTTGGCAAGAGCTTCCAGTCCCCCAGTTCTCCAGGTGACCAGACCCCCAGGGCAATCTGGCACAAAATCCTGAGTTTTTATAAATCTATTACTCACGCGAGAAGCTGCACCTGCAGCATAGGCAACATCTGTCGCTCCTTCTTCCTTGACCGCTGAAAAATGTTGTTCTCCTCCTCATGAAGGGAATGGCGGTCTGTGGTACAGGGAACATCCACCAGCACCTGCCCAGAAGTGTTAAAGGGTAAAGTATTAAAGTTACTTACAGGCTCTTCTTTCTTAGACCAGGGCTGTTTTAAGCCCTAGGGGTTTTGCGGAGTGCTTCCTCTGCCCATCCTTCCATTGTAGAGTACCTGACAAAGCTGCTCATTTTAACCTGGTAGACAATTGCGAAACCATGGCAAAATAGTATATTTAGGTATACTCATGGCTGGTCAAAAACCTAAAACCAACAGGCAAATAACTATAATTAACTGAAATCAACCTAGGAAGAAGTCTTTAATACTTCATAGCTCTGTCGTTGGCTTGGTCCTTAGCTATTTGAATGAATACATCCAATTTGCAGATGATACAATGCCCAGAGGGCAGCTAATATACAAAATAACAGGATCAAAATTAAAAATATCTTATGCTAAAACAACCTTGTATCCAAAATGGAAAAGTTTTAAAGTGAGAAATGTATAATAATTTACTAAGAGCCTGCTCTGTGCTAGGCATTAGAGACAAAAAATAAAAAATAAAAAGCTACCCTATATTTATGTTTCAAAAAAGTAAAATCATCTATAGAAAAGATCTGTGAACTTTTTTTTAGTTAAGCAGAGACTCCAAGTAAATAAAGTTTCCAGCAATGTAGTAAACTAGATATCCAGAAAATGCCTGTAATACAAAGTACCTAAGGGCTGAATAAATATAACTTAAAAATATTTTTAAATGCATAGCTCATAGAAAATTAGAGAACTCCTCAAAAGCCAAAGAAAAAGCAGGAGCAAAACTCTAGGGAGGCATGCTGGAGATGAAGCCGATAGCTTCTTTTACCAGTTCCTAGTAACTCCCCCAAAAAGGACAAAACAGGGCACTGGGCCCACTTGAGGTATGGAATTGGAATAGAAATCCATAGCAAAGCCAAACTCCTCAAAGAGGATAAAAACTGGAATCCAGAGTCCACACCAAGAAGCAGAGAGTCCTAGTAAACACCTCATGCCTTGAGTTGGATCCTGTGTACAGAGGTAAACTGAAAGTAGAACAGAGCTCACAAAGTTTACCTTTGAATTAGCCTAATTTCTAACTGAATTAAGATCGTTTGCTCTGTTAACTATCAGCTGGAAAGAAAATCACATCCCTTCTAGAGGAAGATATCTAGAGCCTCAGATTACCTCTATAATTTTTCACACAAAATGCCTGGCATTCAAATATAAAAAATTACTACCACCAGGAAACAAAAACAAATGACCAAAAACCAAGAGTAAAATAGATAATAGAAGCTGACCCATGAGGTCCAGATATTTAAATTGCCATGGTGTTTGAAATGATCATGACTGATATATTCAAGAAATCAGATGAAAAGACATAAAATTTTATAATTTCCCATTTCGACAGAACTGGAAATTTTGAAAGCAGACAAACTCTAAAACAAAAATACAATAACTGAAATTAAGAACTCAATAGATGCAGTAGGAATGTCAACTGGTGTAGCCACTATGGAAAACGGTATGGAAGTTCCTCAAAAAATTAAAAATAGAGCTATCATATGATCCAGCAATTCCACTTCTGGGTATTTATCTGAAGGAAATGGAAACACTATCCTGAAAAGATATCAGCAACGCCCCCTTGTTCACTGCAACATTATTTACAATAGCCAAGACATGGAAATAACCTAAGTGTCCATCAGCAGATGAATAAAGAAAATGTGGCATTCTACACACACACACGCATGCGTGTGCACACACACACACCAGAATATAATTCAGCCATGAAAAAAGAAATCCTGCTATTTGAGACAATATGAATGGACCATGAGGGTTCATTATGCTAAGTGAAATAAGTCAGAGAAACACAAATACTGTATGATCTCACTTATATGAACTCACAGACACAGAGAAAAGATTGGTTATTGCCAGAGGCAGGGGTGAGGAATGGGCAAAATGGGTGAAGGGGTCAAAAGGTACAAACTTCCATTTGTAAGTCCTGGGATGCAATGCACAGCATGGTGACTACAGTTAACAATACTGTATTGTATATCTGAAAGCTGCTGATAGTAAATCTCAAAAGTTCTCATAAGAAAAAAATTGTAACTATGGTGATGGATATTAACTAAATTTATTATGGTAATCATTTTACAATATATACATATATCAGAGGTTCAGGGCAACATGGTGGAGTGAGAGACATCCCCAGATCTCTCTCCTTGAATCAACAATAAGCTGAACGTCTAAAACTCAACAAAAAACACTCAAACTGCACACCAGCACATCTGAGCATGGGATCTGCGCATAAAAGCTACCACAGGTCAGAACTCCAGGTGTCGGGCAGTGGACTGGGAGTAATAAAGAAGCTGCCTTCCGCAGCCGCTGGAGGTCCTTGCAGGAGGAGGGGGAGGAGTGAAGGAGCGGCAAGTTCGTGTGGCGAGTTCCCTAAACATTCCTGCCTGGGATAGTTGTGGCTGCAGGGCCCAGCTGTCAGGGCAAAAAGCAGAGAAGTGGGACAGGACTGCAGAGGAACAACAGCTGATTTTTGCCGGCCACAGTTGCAAAACCGAAGCTGAGCCACAGCCCCCAACCCCTAACCCCTAACCCAGAGGGCCCCTCCCCCCACCCCTCCAAGACCAATCACCACAGAGCCCCAGGGGAATCTGAGCAAACGCTGCTGAGACTGTTGCTGACACTGACAGAGACTGAAACTGAGGGTAGCGAGCATGATTAAACATGTACAAGAAATTTAAAAAGCATTATTAAGATTTTATATAAAGCAGGGATCCAAGAGGCTTAGATACCACCTACTGGAAACCAAAAGAAAAGCACCTCCTCTGCAACAGGCTAAAGAGAGACCTTTATATAATAAATCATCTTTCTGGAAAAACAGCAGAATACACTTCCATTAATGCCCAGG